GCACATGTGGTAAGATTTTATTCTGTTCTAGACTCTTTCTCGATTAAGCAAATGATAGACTGTCCAACTAGAATCTCTGGTGCATGTGCAAGTTTATTGGATCTTATCATTTCTGGCGATGAGGTTGTATTTGATACAGGTGTCATGGATAGTGGTGGTATGTCGGATCATTTTATAATTTTTGGTAAGGTAAATGTTAGTGAAGTGAGAAATAAACCTAAAATCATTACTATTCGCTCATATAAAAACTTTAATGAAGACAGTTTTTGCAGGTATTTATTTGCAACCCCGTTTTTCATGCTATTTGACCAAGGTAGCGCCGACTCTAAAGTTGCGTTTCTTACAAACCTGCTTACAAACCTTTTTGATAGGCATTTTCCTTTGGTATCAATGAGAGTTACTAAACCTAGAGCCCCATGGCTTACAGATGTGGTGAAGCGAATGCAGAATCTCAGGGACAGGGCGCTGCTTAGATTTAGAAGAACAGGACTGAATGATCATTTGCGATATTATCAGGACTTGCGTAATTTAGTTAACGCTGCTATCATCAGAGAAAAAAATCTTATTATACATACATATTAGAAAGTTGCAGTTCAACAGAAATGTGGAAAAGGTTAAGGAACAATGGAATAGTCTCTTAAAAGGATAACACCATTCCAAATTCCCTTAATGATGTCAATGAACTTAATAATTTTTTTGTTAACAGTATACCTAATATACAGCCTTCTCCTAACTTAATAAATTTCTACAGAAATACTAGGAGGAATTTTGAATTCAAAGAAGTTAATGATTTATTTGTTTATGAAGCAATTTGCCGTATTAAAACTAATGCTCGTGGTTGCGATGGTTTTAATTTAAATTTTATTAAACTATGTTGCCCTCATATTATTCCTTATTTAACTCATATAATTAGTTTTTGTTTTACGCATAATCAGTTCCCTGATCTGTGGAAGCAAGCAAATGTCTGTGTTCTGCCAAAAAACCTAATCCTTCAGATCTTAAAGATCTCAGAGGGATTAGTGTTTTACCATTTTTCTCTAAACTACTTGAGCGTGCAATGGAGGAGCAACTTTCTTATCATTTGTCACAATTTTCATTACTGCCAATTGTACAGTCTGGATTTAGGAAAAATCATAGCTGTACGGCGTCTTTACTTCATGTAACAGACGACATAATCAGAGCTACAGATCGTGGCGAGTGTACTGTTCTTGTTCTGCTGGATTTCAGCAGAGCGTTTGACACTTTAAACCATCAATTAATGCTTGCTATTTTACATCATATTGGTCTTTCTCAAAACGCTATAGATTTATTTCAGTGCTACTTCACTAAGCGGAAACAAACAGTTGTTTTAAATGGAGTTCAGTCTTTATCTTTAAATTTGAAATCCGGCGTACCCCAAGGGTCCATACTTGGACCACTCCTATTTCTAATTTATACATCTAATTTCATGCACTTCCTTAGTCTATGTAATGTGCATTTGTACGCTGATGACACCCAAATCTATTGCAGCTTCCCCCCACAATTGATGGATCGTTTCTCGTTGATCATTAATAATGAGCTAAACTCCTTTGTAGAATGTGCCACACGCCACTGTCTTTTAATAAATCCACAAGTCTCACGTAATTGTTTTTGGACCTAGACAAAATAAAAATGTTATAGGGAATCTTATTAAAATTGAGATAAATGGTGTAACTCTCAAAATAATGGACAATGTAAAAAATTTAGGTGTTGTGATTGATAGTAATCTTCGATTTGAGTATCACATTAACAAAATTATGCAGAGAGCATATTTGTCGTTGAAATTTATTTACGGTAGCCGGAAATTTCTCTCGTTAAAACTTAAGATCATGCTATGTGATACTCATGCTTGCGCCTTGCATTTGGTATACAGAGGAGACATAGAATATCTCACAAATTAAAAGATGCAGGTTGGTTGAATATGGAAAATCGTAGGCTCCTCCACTCTGCTGTTTTTTATCATAAATTAATTTTAGTCAGAACACCCCAATATCTTTATCAAAAAATAACCTACCGGACTGACGTTCATAACATTAACGTAAGAAGTAAGGGTCTTATTTCGCCACCGAAGTTTAGAACGTCAATCTTCAAACAAAGCTTCACATACCAAATATATAAAGTCTACAACTCAGTCCGGAAGGAACTAAAATTTTCTAGAATAGATAACCTCAAAGCCATGTTTAAAAAGGAACTGCTGCAAAAACAGTAGCACCGCATGAATGAATGAATGATTGTTTTTTTTTTTTGTTAGAGTGTAGGTATGCCCCTATTTTATAGTGACATGTATGTATTAACGGTTTATCGGATGTCATATGTCGTAGAGGATACTGGGCTAAGTGGAAGAGCAGGTTGTTGGTACTGTGTACTAATCAAACTGAACTTCGACTTTTATTGACACTGGATGTACTTATGTTCACTTACCATTTTGTCAATGTCTTATGTCAATAATAAAGACGATTATTATTATTATTATTATTATTATTATTATTATTCACATATATTTATATTTAAATATTTTATTTTTGTATGTTTTACGAACACTTTTGTTCTTTTTCACTTATATTGTCCTATAAATGGATGCTTCTGTTGGGCAGTAAAGAATTATTATTATTATTATTATTATTATTATTATTATTATTATTATTATTATTATTATCAGACCTGTGAATTGAATAATTGCATATAATTTAATTTTTTTCATCCGTTTTCAACCTATTCGTCTGTAATTTTTTCTTTATTTGTTACTCATTTCTCTTTAACCAGTTTGTTTATGTTATTATTTTTTGGTATGATTTAATTTATTGTAGCTTTAACATTAGTGTCGAAAATGGCAATAAAGATAATAATAATAATAATAATAATAATAATTTATTAGTCCTGTATGATCACAGATGTGATATAGGATAAGTCAGTCAGAGTACTACAAAAGCTAATAACAAATCATGTTAGTGTGGACGCACACATATTCGTACCACATATGGTATATTCCAAATATGGATACAGATAAATAAAATTAGCTTATTGATAGAATTTATAAATATAAAACATATATGTATATATAAAAAAGCGAAATAAAGGACAAACCATTAAATGACATTCAAACAACAATGATCAAAATCAAACAAGACATTCACACATTAAAAATTCCTCAATAGAGTAAAAAGCTTTCTCCAGTAAAAACTGTTTGACTGTTCTTTTAAAAGTGTTCAGTGGTTGTGATTTCAAATTGTTGGGTAGTATGTTGAAAAACTTAATAGCCATGTATCTAGGGCTCTCCTCCGTTCTCGCCAATCTATGCGACGGCACCTCCAATACTTGACTGTTCCTTGTAAAGTAAGCACCAGTGCTTACAGAATTGAACTTGCGCAATTGTGTTTTAGCAAGGATAAGTATATTGAGTATATATACAGATGGGAAGGTTAAAATCTTTAATGTTCTAAATCCTTGCAGCTAGTGAGCCTTCCAATTTTAGCTATTACTCGAACAGCCTTTTTTTGCAACACAAAAAGTTTTTGCAGCTGGGACGATGCTGCCCATGTTTCTATTCCATAAATTAGGACTGAATGGATATGTGCATGGTAAAATATCAGTAATATCCACTTCTCCACAACAAAACTTAACTGGTACAGACAGTAACAGAGTGGGGTGATCTTTTGGCTACTTTTCTCAATATGCGTATCCCATCTACAATTTTGAGATATATATATTCCTAAAAATTTTGTCGCATCCACTTGTTTTATTGATTTGCCAAACGATTTTATTAGTAAAGTGTGATCCATCGGGGAGGTGGAAAGGTTAAACATAAGGAAAACAGATTTCTGATTATTTAAGACAAGCCCATTATTGCTGAACCACTTGCCTGCACCAGTCAAGCTTAAATTGGCAAGTCCTACAACAGATTCTAGGTTTTTACCATTAATAAGTAAAGAAGTGTCATCAGCATACATTACCCAGCAATCGGAGGGGAAGTCATTGACGTACATTATGTATAAGAGAGGACCAAGTATGGAACCCTGTGGAACACCAGTATGGTAGAAATGTTGGCTTTTGTACCTCGACATGATGCTTTCTATCCGACAGATAGCTATGGAACCAGTCAAATGGCTTCCCTCTGATTCCATATCTATCCATTTTATCTAGCAGAATATCATGGTCAACCAAGTCAAAAGCTTTGCTTAAATCAAGAAATATACCTATGCATTTTTCTCCTTTATCCATCTTGAGATATAAATCATCTAGGAAACGAAGTACGGCATTTTTGGTTGACATGCCTTTTCTAAATCCAAACTGATTGCTATTAAATAATTTGAATCTGTCAAAGAAATTGATGAGTTGCAGAGAGACATATTTCTCAAACACCTTCGAGAAGGGACTAAGAAGTGAGATAGGTCTGAAGTTACACATATCAAACCTATCTCCAGACTTAAACAGCGGCCTAATTTTTGCAAAGTTAAGTTTGTCGGGAAAAATTCATTCTTCGATGGAGCAGTTAATTAAAAAAGCAAGAGGATGGTAAACGATGTCAGATGAAAATTTTAACATATTAGCGCTAATTCTGTCTGCGCCGAAAGAATTAGAACCTTTAAGATGTTTTATAATAGCTGATATGTCATTTGCTACAGCAGGTCTGAGATAAAATGAATGTTCCTATCTATATTAATACTATTTCCCACTTTGTTATTTACGTATAGTTCTGTAATACTATTAAAATGTTGCATAAATTTATCGGCAACCTCTTTTGGTCCTGTTATTAATTCATCTTTCACTTTTAATTTAATTACTTCATGTCTAGATGCATTTTTATTCTGTTTTATTACATTCCAAGCGGTCCTCGTTTATTATTATTATTATTATTATTATTACATATGTGATTTCCCCAGATTGATAGGATTTTCTCAGCGGAAAGATGAGACCAATCACACAAAAAATCGCTAATTTTTCAAAGAGAATGCCACGATGAATGAATATTCTCAAAGGACACTTTAAAAAGAATTTAAATAACCTCTTAATTCTTTCGTCTGATGCATCGATGTCTGGCTAGGTCTGGAAACCATATTGCTCTCTTTAGAGCTTTGGAGTTCTTCAATAATTTCAAAATATTAAAAATTGTGTAAAGGGAAGCGCGGGTATTGAATGAATTTTGTTTTTAATCAGTGATAGCACGTGGGAAATTAGTGCCATATCTTGTTTGTTACGGACGGTGTTATTTCAAGCAGTTCTGGTAGAGATAATGTTCGCCATATCATAAAAACTAACCACATGTTGTCTCTCTGTTGCCGTTGATATCTCCGTGAAATATGCGTTTGTATCCGGTCGAAAGATATGCACACTTGACATGTGTTGTTTGTAGAGGTATTCTTAGCCATGGGTGCAGACAGAGGTTGGTATTAGTGGCTGACCGATCTCTTGGTTTCGGCAGAAGATCCGCGGAAAATGCAACCGAAATCGAAACTACGGTCGTATGATTTCTCACTTACAAATCATTGAAGAATTCTAGTTCAGGCTCAGTTTCAGCAGAATATTCAGAACAGTTTGTTTGCACAAATTAAAAATGCCATAGTTACTAATCTCTTGGAAATAGTTTTTGTTTTTGGTCTGAATAATTCTTCTAGAAAATCACTATTTTTCGGTTCAAGGATACACAAATCGTCGTGTTTTAGACTAAATATCGTTTTAGTTAAACACAGTTTACAAAATTTTAAAAGGGGTTTAAGTACTTGTGCAATAACAATCTTCAAATTAAACTAGGTTTTCATCTAATCCAGAGTTCCCCAAACTTTTTTGTGTCGTAGACCCCTTGCCATGTTTTTCTGTGTTGGGTAGACCCCCCTACTTACCTGATATTGATTTCCTGTAAATTTCTAACTGTAGTGAAGTTTAGTGTTTAAAACTTAAAGTAAAAACACAACTAAATGTTATCGATGGATGACGCAAAGTATTGCTAACACCCCTGACACATTTTGTTTTAAATAGCTTATAAATTCACGATAACGTCCAACCATGGCAGGTGCTCCATCTGTAGCTACTGATATTATATTTCATAAAGGAATTGCTTTTTCAATGAAGTAATCCTTCAAAACATGAAATATTGATTCACCTTTAGTGTCGGTTATCAAAGTTCTTGCGAAGAGCAGTTCTTCGTAGATTTCTTGATTCATATTAAAACGAACATATGCCAATAATAATGCTGCATTATCAGGTAAAGTCGACTCGTCCAGTTGTATAGAGAAATGGGTCGTTTGCAAATAATTACATAAGAAGCTTTCAATATCAGAACTCATTTCATTAATACGTCTTTCAACAGTATTGTTGCTTAAGGGAATTCTTTTAATGATATCAGATGCAGGTTTGTGTGAAACAGTTTTTAAAGCCTCTTCAACGGCTGTCAAAATTAACTTCTCTCCGATAGTATGCGGTTTTCCGGATTTTGCTATAAGTAACGAGATATTGTAAGACGCCCGCAAACCATCATCATTTCTTTGTAACGTCGAAGCGAACATTCTGTCCAGAGACCTACTTCTGAATTTTATCTTTGAGTGTTTGAAAGTATTTCAAATCTTTCTCTGTTTTATCAGGGTAGCATTTTCTCAGATGATCTTGCAGTTTAGATGGTTTCATAGCGTCATTGCCCAAAACTTTGTTGCATAAAAGGCACATAGGCGATTGGTTGTCCAGCAATGATGGAATGAAGCCCAATTTCAAATAATCAACACTGTACTGTCTACATTTCTTTTTAGATTCGGACATGGCATCAGTCATCTGTGGGCAACATTAAATTATTTAAATAAGACAGAAAATCCAGCAGCTGTATATTAATAATATTTTTTGATTTTTCCGAAAACATGCCATAATTCGAACATCTTGCAACAATTAGCTCGAATTACGGAGATTGCACTGTAATTATATCACCGATTGCTAAAACTTTCAAACAGAAACTATTGAGGAGTACTCGTGTAATTTTGCATGATTGAATATTTAACTACTAATAACTAAAGTCATGATTGTCGTAATTTATCTATCTTTGCTAACTACGAGTACAAAACTAAAATTTAATAAAAAATAATGTACTTACTTTTCTCCATCACTCTCAAACAAAATAACACTGACTCACTATAATTTGTGTGATATACTATCTGTTTATATTTTTTAAAAGATTTTCTTAGCACTTTCCTTTTCAAGATTCAGGAAACGAATAAACGTATTTGTCCCACATTCGTATTTATAGAGTGACGAATTGAACAAGTCAGTGCAAGGTAGCGAAGCTCTGAGACTGCGACTCTCAGGTTTTTACAAGTTCAGAATGTATTGCGACCACAAAGCGAATACCAACATCCTACAACTTACACAATTTTATAAACATATATAATAAATTTTTTACTTCATAGGTACTTTTATAAATAATGTATATGTTTTGATATTATAAGATAGTATGATGTAAGTAAGTAGGTACTATCAGTGTATGTGTTGAGATCCACTATCGTGGACCCCCATATTCATTTCATGGACCCCCAATTTTTTTTTTCGCTGACGTAGACCCCTTGCAAGTTGTCATAGACCCCTAGGGGTCGATATAGACCACTTTGGGAATCAATGGTCTAATCTAACGTTAAATAATATTGGCGCAACGCCAATAAGTTGTGACTTTTGTTGTATTTTTTTTTTACAGAATGTTGGAAACAAAAAGGCATTTTTTATATTTTAAGAGACCAATACAGTATGTTTTAGTTTTCTTCAACCAAGTCTCAATAATATTTAACAAAGACTGGTTATTATATATTATATAGAGTTTTTTTTTTTAATAATAAACTGCTATTATGACTAATAATAGTTAATAAAGACCGAGTTTGTGTTTTTTTTGAGAAAGCACTACTATCTTATCTTTCAATGGGACGTACCAACCCCCCATGTCCCATATCACACTACTCATCTAAAGGTTTCAGTTCTGGTTGAAACTAAAATTAGACCGAAATTATGGTTTCGAAGTTTGAGGAAATTGAGTTCAAAATTCTGAAATTTTTTGAGTTAAATAAATATCTAATATCATTTCGACACAAAATAAGTGAATGAATATTGCAAAGTTACATGACTTTGTAGAGTGTCATTTAAATGTGATTTCGGATCATAATTGTTGTCGGAATATAAAATAAATGACGTCCCGTTGCCACGCCTTTTTTATAAATAAATATGAGGAAATGGTGGAGTGATTCCACTTTCCTTGTTTTAAATTAATCAATGAATTAATAAATTACTATAAATGAAATATAAGTGTCGGCCAATGCAAAACTCAGGGCACAAATCAGTGGCCAGTAGTGAGCAGTGACGTAAGGAACGTCACAAGGTAGGGGCTGCTTGCCTCGTTCTCAAAATTTATGGTATAAAGAAACCCTAGAGAGAGAAAAAGACTGTTCAAAAATCTACTCTCTACTCTATGCCTGAGGTAGAACACACACATTTAAAAGACTCAAACTTGAAGAAAAATCCATGTACATTCTCGTTTACAAGAAAACTATTCTTCTTTCTGCAAGGGCAAGAAAAGATAAAAATATACCAAAGTGATATACACTCAGAAAGTTATCCGTTGTTCTAAAATAAGTAATGGCAGCGCAAAGTTCAAAATCATGATTAATGTAATGTAATAAGCCCAAAAGACAGTGACATGTAGGCATTACCCTATATTTGAATTCGTAAAATGCCGAACAAAATCAAGAACAGTCTAAGAATTTCAGTCAGCAACAATCAATATATCAATATCTATATAATACCCAATTAACATGATATTTTACCTGTTCACATCAGGGTTTTTATAAAGGGGAAGAGATGGCTTCCAACAAAATCGGCTGCGAAACAGCTACAAGGCAGCTACAAAACAAAGCTGGAGGAGTGTGACTGGTGGTTCTCCACAATGGCTTTCCACTAAAAGGAATCAGATATTGAACAAACTTCTTCAGGACAAGCATTAATGGATACAGTCCGATGGTATAGAAAAGAGAACTTACCGCTGGAGGTTAAAATCCCATAACAAAATGGACGAATAGTGCCCTAACCAACACCACTTGTCGTAAGTTACAAAATAAAATACATAAACTGGTGCTTGGGGCGTTCATATCCCAAAATCTGGAAGTTAACGAAAAAACGCCCGCACACAACCAAAATCACAGCGTAAAGAAAATAGCGCTGGACCGTCTGCTCACGCAACCCCCTAAAAGAGGGTTGAATCAGTGGCCCTGAAAAAGGCACGTTCGACAGAACATCAAAAGGAACAAATAAAAGCCGGTAAAGAAGGTATCTTGATAGGAAGGTAAACATTCATATATGGCTAATACGTATGAAAATCACAAGATGGCGCGATGGTTGCCTATGGACAGACTGTAGGCAGAAACAAATCTGTCTACGAGGGACCAACAATATTTTATGAGGAAAGTTCTCAGATAGAAGAAAGATTTCAATACAATACTGAGTCGCTGAGAATGACAGATATAATACGTGAGAAATTATACAATCAATAAGCTATGAAATTTAGCAAAATAGAATCATTGAAAAAGGTTAGGTCTAAGAATCGGTACCCTACTATTAATGAAGAGAAATTCAAATTACTGATATGTGATCAAAACAGTAAAAACAAAGGTTATGTGATTTTGGCACGTGACACCGTCTTTAATTGTCTTAAATCATAAAGCATTCAGATGTTATATACTGCTTTTAACAAAATCAAATTTACTGCTATTTTCCAAAGTTTTCATAATCTATTTATATTATTATTTCAAAGGAAAAATGCAGTAATGCGGATTTTTATTTTAAAACTAGATCTCTCCAACACCCAATGGTTCAATTTAATAGTTATATTTACATTTAATAATCACATCCATCAAAAATAATTATGGGTGTTTCAGTTTATTGTTGCATAACTTTAAGATTCGATAGAACTTAAAATTGATGCATAAAGTCTATATAAACATGGGTCGAAAAATGCGTTGCTTCCGAAATACAGGGTGTTTAAGTTTACTTTCTAAAATAGTTTTTTTTAAATATTTCGAACAATATTTGATGTATAACAGTGAAAATTGGTATACAAGGGTTTTTTGGTACGACAAAACGAACCATGGGCATAGTTTTACTGTAGTCGCTAGAGGGCGCTCTCTACTGTACCTGTAGTGTATTAAAATGACCGAAAAAAATTTCTTAGTGCAATTTTTTGCTTTTTGAATAAAAAAACTGATTCTTCGCACTTTTCAACATAAAAAAGCTCTCCTGTGAGTTTTCGTTATAGTTAGCCGTTTTTTGAGATATTTCGATTTTTAAGGTTCGATGCATCTTTAATTATTAATGGGGACATAACATTTTTTTTACATTTTCGATTTGGGCATTACAAGTAATTAAGATGATCGTTTAGATTGTGTTTTTAAACACAGCAATATTTCCTAACTCCAAATAAACACAAAAAACAGAATATTAATTTGTTTAATTTTCCAATATTATTTTCAAACAAATCAAATTAATTATTTACAACTAAAATGCTATTGGATAGTTAGGACAAACATACAAAATCTAAAGTTGTTGTTCGAAATGTAAACCCAATTGTTTAATACACAATTCACGTCTACGAATGATCAAACGTGGTATAGCATTATTCAAATAAGGCCTTACTGCATCACATGTATTCCTGATTCTGTCAATTAGCATATCTCTAGTGGTTACGGGAGTCTGGTACACTTTTTCCTTTAGAAGTCCCCACACAAAGAAATCTAATGGATTTAGGTCAGGGGATCGTGGAGGCCAGGCAACTGGTCCTCCACGGCCGATCCATCTTTCTGGATAATTTTCGTCCAGCCAGTTTCTAACTATTCTCGAATAATGAGCTGGACAACCATCAAGCTGGAACCAGGCCAATCTTCTTAAATCTAACATAACATCATTCCACATATTTGCATGTTCAGCCTTTAAAAATTCCAAGAAGGTCGCAGCATTTAACCTTGCAGGCAAAAGGTAGGGTCCAAATAGTCGATTACGGTAGATACCAGTCCACAAGTTCACACTAAATTCATGCTGAAAATTTCTTTCCTGAACTGCATGCAGATTTTCATGCGACCAAATATGTTGATTATGAAAATTTACCACTCCACGTCGAGTGAAGCATGACTCATCGGTCCATAAAACGTTACTTAAAAACTCCCTATTATTATCAGTTCTATCAAGAATCCACTGACAAAATGTGATTCTTCGTTCTCCGTCCCCTGGCTGTAGTCCTTGCACAGGTTGCAAATGGTAAGGACGGCTATGGTCATTTCTAAGAACACGGTGAACATGGCTTGCTGAAATTCCCAAGGCACCAGAAACTCTCCTAACACTTGTGGTCGGATCTCTATCAAACTCACGCAGAATCATACGGATAAATCTGCGCTGACGAACATTTATGTTTTGATCCCTTTGGCG